GTTTGTATCTAAATACAAGTTTTAATTTAAAGGGACAGTCACACAGGTGTGCCATCTTAAAGGGACAGTCTCACAGGTGTCATCTTAAAGAGACAGTCCCACAGGTGTGTCATCTTAAAGGGACAGTCCCACAGGTGTGTCATCTTAAAGGGACAGTCCCACAGGTGTGTCACCTTAAAGGGACAGTCACACAGGTGTGTCATCTTAAAGGGACAGTCACACAGGTGTGTCATCTTAAAGGGACAGTCCCACAGGTGTCATCTTAAAGGGACAGTCCCACAGGTGTGTCATCTTAAAGGGACAGTCCCACAGGTGTGTTATAATGAAGGTGTGTGTGAGTATGAACCTGCAGGGGTAGAATGTGACATAATTTGAACCAAAGCGAGATAATCCAACCTGTTTTTGAAGACGTGACTCCACATGAAGAGTGTGTGACGATGTTTGCACTGATGATGATGCTGTGAGCTGTAGCACATGTTTTTAGAGAGAGACAGGTAACATGGAGTCACCTGATGGTTTAACAGGAAGACGCTCCTGTTCTCCTCTGAGCTGAGGGTGACTGTGAATCATTCCAGATGTTTTATTGAAAGCTGAATGACTCCATGAGTTTCCGTGAACATGATTATAATAATGTTAACTTTAAGAATCAGCTGTGTGGTCTCCTGCATGTTACAAACTGAGTGCCTCTATCTTTAAGCTCATTTGATTCTTCTCCATTTTAACAGCTGCTCAGAACAACTTTGTGTCTCCTTGGTGCATCTTTTCTGTAAATATGAGACAGACGAGCGTCAGATCTGGAGCCGCCTGGCAACACTCCTCTGACTGTTATTAAACTTTTTTGGAATCATTTCATGGATTTCTGCCTCCTTCTTTTTTTTTTCACCCTGTTTAAACCAAACTGAGATTCACCTGACAAGAGAGCTCCCAGCATGCACTTCTGTCTGCCATAGTGTCTTTTTGAAGTTTCACCACTGGAGGGCACCATGAATGTGCAACCAGCATTGTGCATGACCCAACCCACCCCTCACACAGCCTCTTCAGCCTCCTGCCATCGGGGAGACGGTACCGCAGCCTGCGGGCCGGCTCCACCAGACTGGGAAACAGCTTCTTCCACCAAGCTGTCAGGAAGCTTAACTCTCTCCCCTCTCTTCCTTCCCTCCCCTCTGCCCCCACGAACACTGAACATTGAAACCCCCTCCCGTTTGCCGCCAAGAACTCTGGGCTAATAACTCTGAAGCTAACTATTCAAAAGTACACTCAGTTTACTGCACATTGCACATACTGCACAAGTTCACTTTTTCTTTAAATTTTATTGTATTTTATTTACTACATTTTGCACAATTTAGAATTTATTACTGTAAATATTATTTATCTTATTTTTACCTCATTTTATTTATCTATTTTTACCTTATTGGTTGTATTGCACCGTGGGACGGAGACAAACGAAATTTCGATTCCACTGTATGTCTGGCATATTTTGAAATTGACAATAAAGTTGACTTTGGCTTTGACTTTGATGTGACACAATTTCTCCTAAAGGTCCAATCAGTGCGATGTGTAGAGTGAGATGATAAAGGTATCTTACTATCTGATCAGACCGCCCCTCGGTTTGCCAGATATGAGAGCAGTTATCAGGTCAACAGGTGTTGCAGCGATGGAAGCGGTCAAGAGAAGTGGTTGAGATAGAAGTGATTGTACCCGACTTAAAAAGCCTCTGCATGTTTCTAATAAGCTCCACGAGCAGAAACGTGCTCAAACTAGGATCAATATTGGAGATGCTTTTGAAAAATGGAGCGAGGTTAGAACACGGAAAGGTTTACAGACCCATGCCGGGATAAAATAATATTTAAAAAACGAAGAAATGAGCAGTGAGACTGATCAAAGATATTTTAATGATTACAGGCTCAGCCACATACAGATCCAATAAAACACAGAACACGACAAGACAAACAAACATCTGTGTGACCAAAAACTTTAACAGCTCACAACACTGACCACATGTGTGTTCAATGACACACATGTGGTCATTACGGACGCTGACATCATGTTCATTAAACACACACACAGATTTCTTCACAGCTCCTTTAAAAACAGGACAAAAAAACTGACGTCTGCAGGAAGTTCACAGTTCTTCTTCTGACTGTTGTACAAGAAAAAAAACCTGCAGACACACACACACACACACACACACACACAGAGACACACGGACACACACACACACAAAATCATGAAACATTAACACAGCTCAGCTCGTTCAGTCAAAAGTTTGTCTTTTTAAAGTCCATATTTGCTTTGAATCTGTAAACTCAGCTCCTCTTCCTGTCCTCAGTGAAACCTGTTCTTCCTCCTCCTGTCCCCCCCCCCCCCCGGCAGACCCTGACCCCTACGAGCTGATGATCTGACCCGACCACGTCTCATGTTTGCTTCCTGGGTTCAGATGTGTGATCTTCACCTCCACCGCCTGAACCTTCAGGTTCTTCGGAGGGACTCGGCTGACTTTATACGTGACCTCATCACCCTCCACCGGGACGTACTCGCCCTCGATGCTGAAACAGAACACAGAAGACATGAAGAGGTTAAAAAAAGATTGACTTCTCAACGTCTGGTTTTAGATGAACACAGAGTTACAGACAGAGGTCAGATATGTTCCTACAGAGGTCATATATGTTTCTACAGAGGTCAGATATGTTCCTGTAGAGGTCAGATTTGTTCCTGAAGAAGCACACACACATGGACACACAGTGTTCGACCTCTCTCACACACAAAGTCTCTGAACCTATCAATCGATCAAACCTCATCATTTAGTCTCATAGTGAAGTGTTCATGTTTTCTGCGACTCACTCTGAGATGTGAACAAAGATGTCATCTCCTCCGTGTGACGGTCTGATGAAACCGTGACCCTGCGACCTGCAGAAGTTCTTACAGACACCTTTAAAGAGCGGGCTGGATTGAGCTCGCACCGTGCTGTGGGGACCGGAGAAAGCAACGTAAATCTAATGTAAACTTTACAACAAACAAGACGTTAACTTTACATCAAACACGTTAACTTTACCTCAGGCACAGCGTAAACTTTACATCAAACATGCCGTAAACTTTACAACAAACACGATGTTAACTTTACAACAAACACGGCATAAACTTTGCATCAAACATGACGTAAACTTTACAACAAACAAGACGTTAACTTTACATCAAACACAACGTTAACTTTACATCAAACACAAATTAACTTTACATCAAACAATACTATACATCAAACACGGCGTAAATTTTACGTCAAACACGTTAACTTTACCTCAAGCACAGCGTAAACTTTACATCAAACATGGCGTAAGCTTTACATCAAACACAACATTAACTTTACGTTAACTTTACATCAAACACGGCGTACCCACAAACACAACGTTAACTTTACATCAAACATGACGTTAACTTTACATCAAACACGACATAAACTTTACATCAAACACGGCATGCACTTAACATCACACACGGCATGCACTTAACATCACACACGATGTTAACTTTACAACAAACACGACGTTAACTTTACATCAAACACGACATTAACTTTACATCGAACACGGCGTTAACTTTACATCAAACGCGACGTAAACTTTACAACAAACACGATGTTAACTTTACAACAAACACGGTGTAAACTTTGCATCAAACATGACGTAAACTTTACAACAAACAAGACGTTAACTTTACATCAAACACGACATTAACTTTACATCAAACACAAATTAACTTTACATCAAACACGGCGTAAATTTTACGTCAAACACGTTAACTTTACCTCAAGCACAGCATAAACTTTACATCAAACACGGCGTAAGCTTTACATCAAACACAACGTTAACTTTACGTTAACTTTACATCAAACACGACGTAAACTTAACATCAAACAAAACGTAAACTTTACATCAAACACAACGTAACTTTACATCAAACACGGCGTAAACTTTACAACAAACACGACGTCAACTTTACATCAAACACGACGTAACTTAACATCAAACAACGTAAACTTTACAACAAACACAACGTAACTTTACATCAAACACGGCGTAAACTTTACAACAAACACGACGTCAACTTTACATCAAACACGACGTTAACTTAACATCGAACACGACGTTAACTTTACATTAAACACAACGTTAACTTTACATCAAACACAATGTAACTTTACAACAAACACGACGTGACTTTACATCAAACACAACGTTAACTTTACAACAAACAAAACGTAAACTTTACATCAAACACAACGTAACTTTACATCAAACACGGCGTAAACTTTACATCAAACACGGCGTAAACTTTACAACAAACACGACGTTAACTTTATATCAAACACGACGTTAACTTAACATCGAACATGACGTTAACTGAACATTAAACACGACATAAACTTTACATTAAACACGACATAACTTTACATCAAACACGACATAACTTTACATCAAACACGACATAACTTTACATCAATCACAACATTAACTTTACATCAATCACAACATTAACTTTACATCAAACACGACGTTAACTTTACATCAAACACGGCATGCACTTAACATCAAACACAATGTTAACTTTACAACAAACAAAACGTAAACTTTACATCAAACACAACGTAACTTTACATCGAACACGACGTTAACTTAACATCGAACACGACGTTAACTTTACATTAAATACAACGTTAACTTTACATCAAACATGGCATGCACTTAACATCACACACGACGTTAACTTTACATCAAAAACGACATAACTTTACATCAAACACAACATTAACTTAACATCAAACACGACGTAAACTTTACATCAAACACGGCGTAAACTTTACAACAAACACGACGTTAACTTTACATCAAACACGACGTTAACTTAACATCGAACACGACGTTAACTTTACATTAAACACAACGTTAACTTTACATCAAACACAATGTAACTTTACAACAAACACGACGTGACTTTACATCAAACACAACGTTAACTTTACAACAAACAAAACGTAAACTTTACATCAAACACAACGTAACTTTACATCAAACACGGTGTAAACTTTACATCAAACACGGCGTAAACTTTACAACAAACACGACGTTAACTTTACATCAAACACGACGTTAACTGAACATTAAACACGACATAAACTTTACATCAAACACGACATAACTTTACATCAAACACGACATAACTTTACATCAATCACAACATTAACTTTACATCAAACACGACGTTAACTTTACATCAAACACGACTTAACTTAACATCGAACATGACGTTAACTGAACATTAAACACGACATAAACTTTACATCAAACACGACATAACTTTACATCAAACACGACATAACTTTACATCAATCACAACATTAACTTTACATCAAACACGACGTTAACTTTACATCAAACACGACATAACTTAACATCGAACATGACGTTAACTGAACATCAAACACGACATAACTTTACATCAAACACGGCATTAACTTTACATCAAACACAACGTTAACTTTACATCAAACAAAACGTTAACTTTACATCAAACACAACGTAACTTTACATCAAACACGACATAACTTACATCAAACACGACATAACACGTCATCACACATTAACTTACAACAAACAACGTAAACTTTACATCAAACACAACGTAACTTTACATCAAACATGACATAACTTTACATCAAACACAACGTAAACTTTACGTCAATCACACATTAACTTTACATCAAACACAACGTTAACTTTACATCAAACACGGCATACACTTAACATCAAACACGATGTTAACTGTTCATCTAACACGGCGTAAACTTTACAACAAACATAACGTAACTTTACATCAAACACAATGTAAACTTTACATCAAACACGACATAACTTTACATCAAACACGGTGTAACTTTACATCAAACACAGTTTACGTTAACTTTACATCAAACATGACGTAAACTTAACATCAAACACAACGCAAACTTTACATCAAACACGGTTAAACTTTACATCAAACACAACATAACTTTACATCAAACACAGTGTAACTTTACATCAAACACAACGTTAACTTTACAACAAACAAAACGTAAACTTTACATCAAACACGCATAACTTTACATCAAACACACATAACTTTACAACAACAAACAAACTTTACATCAAACACGACGTAACTTTACATCAAACACAACATAACTTTACGTCAATCACAACATTAACTTTACATCAAACACAACGTTAACTTTACATCAAACACGGCATACACTTAACATCAAACACGATGTTAACTGTTCATCTAACACGGCGTAAACTTTACAACAAACATAACGGTGTAACTTTACATCAAACACAATGTAAACTTTACATCAAACACAACGTAACTTTACATCAAACACGGTGTAACTTTACATCAAACACAATGTTAAGTTTACGTTAACTTTACATCAAACATGACGTAAACTTAACATCAAACACAACGCAAACTTTACATCAAACACGGTGTAAACTTTACATCAAACACAACATAACTTTACATCAAACACAGTGTAACTTTACATCAAACACAACGTTAACTTTACAACAAACAAAACGTAAACTTTACATCAAACACGACATAACTTTACATCAAACACGACATAACTTTACATCAATCACAACATTAACTTTACATCAAACACGACGTTAACTTTACATCAAACACGACATAGCTTTACGTCAATCACAACATTAACTTTACATCAAACACAACGTTAACTTTACATCAAACACGGCATACACTTAACATCAAACACGATGTTAACTGTTCATCTAACACGGCGTAAACTTTACAACAAACATAACGGTGTAACTTTACATCAAACACAATGTAAACTTTACATCAAACACAACGTAACTTTACATCAAACACGGTGTAACTTTACATCAAACACAATGTTAAGTTTACGTTAACTTTACATCAAACATGACGTAAACTTAACATCAAACACAACGCAAACTTTACATCAAACACGGTGTAAACTTTACATCAAACACAACATAACTTTACATCAAACACAGTGTAACTTTACATCAAACACAACGTTAACTTTACATCAAACACAAATTAACTTTACATCAAACAATACTATACATCAAACACGGCGTAAATTTTACGTCAAACACGTTAACTTTACCTCAAGCACAGCGTAAACTTTACATCAAACATGGCGTAAGCTTTACATCAAACACAACATTAACTTTACGTTAACTTTACATCAAACACGGCGTACCCACAAACACAACGTTAACTTTACATCAAACATGACGTTAACTTTACATCAAACACGACATAAACTTTACATCAAACACGGCATGCACTTAACATCACACACGGCATGCACTTAACATCACACACGATGTTAACTTTACAACAAACACGACGTTAACTTTACATCAAACATGACATAAACTTTACATCAAACACGACATAAACTTAACATCACACACGATGTTAACTTTACATCAAACACGACGTTAACTTTACATCAAACACAACGTTAACTTTACATCAAACATGACGTTAACTTAACATCAAACACGACATAAACTTTACATCAAACACGGCATGCACTTAACATCAAACACAATGTTAACTTTACAACAAACAAAACGTAAACTTTACATCAAACACAACGTAACTTTACATCAAACACGACATAACTTTACATCAAACACGACATAACTTTACGTCAATCACAACATTAACTTTACATCAAACACAACGTTAACTTTACATCAAACACGGCATACACTTAACATCAAACACGATGTTAACTGTTCATCTAACACGGCGTAAACTTTACAACAAACATAACGGTGTAACTTTACATCAAACACAATGTAAACTTTACATCAAACACAACGTAACTTTACATCAAACACAGTGTAACTTTACATCAAACACAATGTTAAGTTTACGTTAACTTTACATCAAACATGACGTAAACTTAACATCAAACACAACGCAAACTTTACATCAAACACGGTGTAAACTTTACATCAAACACAACATAACTTTACATCAAACACAGTGTAACTTTACATCAAACACAACGTTAACTTTACATCAAACACAAATTAACTTTACATCAAACATGACTTTACATCAAACACGGTGTAAGCTTTACATCAAATACAACGTTAACTTTACATCAAACACAAATTAACTTTACATCAAACATGACTTTACATCAAACACGACATAAACTTAACATCAAACACAGCGTAACTTTAGATCAAACACGACATTAACTTTACATTGAAGCCAACATTAACTTTACGTCGAACAAAACGTTAACTTTACATCAAACACGGCGTAAACTTTACAACAAACACAACGTTAACTTTACTTCAAACACGGCGTAAACTTTACAACAAACACGATGTTAACTTTACATTAAACACGACGTTAACTTTACATCAAACACAACGTAACTTTACAACAAACACGACGTGACTTTACATCAAACACAACGTTAACTTTACATCAAACATGGCGTAAACTTTACAACAAACACAACGTTAACTTTACTTCAAACATGGCGTAAACTTTACAACAAACACGACGTTAACTTTACATTAAACACAACGTTAACTTTACATCAAACACAATGTAACTTTACAACAAACACGACGTGACTTTACATCAAACACAACGTTAACTTTACATCAAACACGGCGTAAACTTTACAACAAACACGACGTTAACTTTACATCAAACACGACTTAACTTTACATCAAACACAACATAACTTTACATGAAACACGGCATGCACTTAACATCAAACACGATGTTAACTTAACATCAAACACAATGTAAACTTTACAACAAAAACGACGTTAACTTTACATCAAACACGACGTTAACTTTACATCAAACATGACGTTAACTTTACATCAAAGGTTGGTGCGTTTGTTTTAATCACGCTGAGTAGGTTCTGGTGCATTTGATTTACTCACGCTGAGTAGGTTCGGTTGCGTTTGGTCGGCAGAGGACTCGGCAACTCCCTCGGCAGTGGCTGCTCCTTTCCCTCCTCCCATACCCGACTCCCCTCCCTCAGGAAGGGGAAGGGGAGGGTGAGGGAGGCGTTGGGAGAGCACAGCGGTGTCCCAGAGGGTGACGTGGGGTCTGCCATGTTAGATATGACGGGAGGAGTGGGGGTCTGAGCCGTTCTTCAGGTCTCAGTAGGAGTCCCTGTGAGGAGAGACACCACAGGAGAAAGAGAGGAGGAGTCAGAGGAGTCAGAGAGAGAGAGATGAGTCTGAGAGAGAGGGAGGAGATAATAGGAGGAGTCAGAGAGAAAGATGAGTCAGAGAGAGAGGAGATCAGAGGAGGAGTCAGAGAGAGAGGGAGGAGTCAGAGAGAGAGAGGAGATCAGAGGAGGAGTCAGAGAGAGAGAGGAGATCAGAGGAGGTGTCTGAGAGAGAGAGGAGATCAGAGGAGGAGTCAGAGAGAGAGAGGAGTCAGAGAGGAGATCAGAGGAGGAGTCAGAAAGAGAGAGGAGTCAGAGAGAGAGAGGAGATCAGAGGATGAGTCAGAGAGAGAGAGGAGTCTGAGAGAGAGAGGAGTCGGAGAGAGAGAGGAGTCAGAGAGAGAGAGGAGATCAGAGGATGAGTCAGAGAGAGAGAGGAGTCTGAGAGAGAGAGGAGTCGGAGAGAGAGAGGAGTCAGAGAGAGCGAGAGAGGAGTCAGAGAGAGAAGTCTGAGAGAGAGAGAAGTCTGAGAGAGAGAGGAGTCAGAGAGAGAGACAGAGGAGTCAGAAAGAGAGAGGAGTCAGAGAGAGAGAGGAGTCTGAGAGAGAGAGAGAGGTGTCAGAGAGAGAGAGAGAGGAGTCAGAGAGAGAGAGGAGTCAGAAAGAGAGAGAGAGGAGTCCGAAAGAGAGAGGAGTCAGAGAGAGAGGAGTCAGAGAGAGAGAGAGAGGAGTCAGAGAGAGAGAGAGAGAGAGGAGTCAGAGAGAGAGGAGGGGAGTCAGAGAGAGAGAGAAGTCTGAGAGAGAGAGAGAGGAGTCAGAGAGAGGTTTAAAGCTGTGTCCAAAACCCTAAACTACATACTCAGAATCTATACACTGCATACTAACCTGACAATACGCATGTCGTTAGCAAAGTACTAGACTACAGGTCATATGACGTACTAACGGGTCTGTTCGATGCGCTATTGGACAGTTTGAGAGCTGCAGTGCATTGTGGGCCTTCTCGTAGAGTGAAGTTTAGGACAGGAAGTTAAGCACAGAAACAGGAAGTGGTTAGAGGTCCCAAAGTGAGGTCAAACAGCTCAAAGGAACGGTAACAAAGGTTAATGTGTGATGTCATAAGGTCAATGTGTGATGTCATAAAGTCGATGTGTTATGTCATAAGGTCGATGTGTGATGTCATAAGGTCGATGTGTTATGTCATAAGGTTGATGTGTGATGTCATAAGGTCGATGTGTGATGTCATAAGGTCAATGTGTGATGTCATAGGGTCAATGTGTGATGTCATCAGGTGGATATTACTGTGTGAGAGTTTGTTAAAGTGAAATGAGACATTCAAAGATGCAGCAGTGAGACTACAGGGAGACACTGAGGACGAGTATCTACGGAGAGCCTGAAGGGACAAAATATATATATTATAATATTTTGAGTTTACTCGAAGGACCAATGAGGGGACGAGTTCAGAAAACTGTCTGTGCAGAACATCAGCTTAATGTGTGCACTACAACTAAGATGAACGACATCATCACTAACCACTTCCTGTTCATCCACAACAACCCCCCCCCACACGCACACGCACACCCACACACACGCGCGCACTCACACACGCGCGCACACACCTTGGCGTTAATTCCTCTAATCTGGTGTGTCATCATTTGAAGGATAAAAACGGAGTGACGTCAGCTCTGACCTCCTCTCAGTTAGTGTTCATGTGTGTGTTCGTGTTTTAGAGAGAGCGTGGGTGACGTGTTTTTCTTTTTTTACACCCACGCCTCCTCTGATGAGGAGATGGTGATGATGCACCCAGTACTCGAGCTCTGCACGCGGCGTGACGTCAGAACAGCTGCAGAACAACACCTTCAGTGAGGCGTTCGTGACGTCAGCGTCCCCAAATAAAATGTTATATTACCTATACGAGAGTTTATATTACCGCGATACTTAAGAACACGCGAGAGCCGAACACGCAGCTGTGCGGATTATTCTGAGATTAAAGATGATTATCAATAAAGACACACAGCAGCTGGAACACATCTGGAGGAGCAGAAAGAATGTGGAGGCTGCTCCGACCCGGGTCAGATCTGCTCCAGATCTCCTCTCTGTCCCGGGATAAATCAAATCAGACTAAAGCTGTCTCAGTTTGTCTCTGACGTGTGCAGAAGCATCAAACATGGATTTAAAGTCCACTGAAACCACAGCTGGTCATCACAACATAGAACAGAACAAGATAGAAGTTCAAGGGGGACAGGTCACAGTACACCATGATACACACACACACACACACACACACACACACACACACACGAAATAAGAGCAGAATCGTTACTTACTGAGCGGCTGCGCTGGAAAGCTGAGGACGGTCAGAGGGAGTGTGTGTGTGTGAGAGAGAAGAGAGGGGGAGTGAGTGTGTGACTGTGTGTGTGATGTCGGTGTGTATTATATAACGTGTATTTAAATAAATAAGTGAACCAAATCCACGCAGAGCGGCGGAAAACCCTGATGTGACGCTGACATGCTTCTGAGTCTGCGCAGTTGGAGGAGATTCCGATGGCGTGATGCGACACCGTGTGTGTGTTAAGTGAGTGTATGTGTGTGTGTGAGAGAGAGAGAGCACTGCATCATCATCTGCACTGTAATAACTGAACACACAGATCACTGAGCAGCTGTCTCGTGGAAATCACATGTTCACCTTTTGTTTGTATTTATTTTGATCTTTAGTGATTCAAACATTAAATCAATTTGGTTTTTAGGGTCAAACTGTGGACATCTGAGATTATACTGGTAAGAAGGCAGGTCTAAGGACCAGCATGCACCTGGTTGGACGTACAAGAGAGGCAACAGGATGTTCTGCTTTTTCTAAAAGAAACGTCGGAAAAGTCGCCGTGGAGCTTCATGTTCGCACCCTGAAGCTCTCTGAGCAGAGACTGCACCCTTCAGACTCTGAACTCATTCTAACAGCAGCTTCCTCTAAAGCAGGGGTGCCCAAACAGTCGATCGCGATCGACAGGTAGATCGCGATCGACAGGTAGATCGCTGACTGATTCTCAGTCGATCGAGATGTTTAGTCAATATAAAATACAATTGTAAAATAGAGAAGTGATTTCAATTTCATCTCATTGCAGTTTTTCCCACACACGATACCTGTGTGGGGAGCCAAGTATACTTCCGACCTGTTTGTATTTAATTTTTCATTTATTCATGAAATTGCTGCGTGCATGAGAGAGCGAGCGAGAGAGAGAGAGAGAGTGCAGGCATGCGCAATGACGTGCAGGTAAAACCGGGGGGGGTAAATGTTTTACCAAAAAGTCATATATAGAAACTATGCTACGAGTATTAAACACATTTGATGAAGCTGCAGCTACTTTTCTCTGCTCCTCTCTGCTGTCATGACTGTGAGCATCGCGGGGCACGAGACACACCAACATACAGCGCAAACTCACACACTCACACGCACACACACACACTCACACGCACACACACACACTCACACGCGCACACACACACACACACACACACTCACACGCACACTCACACACACACACTCTCACACACACTCACACGCGCACACACACACACTCACGCACGCACACACACACACACACACACACACACACACACACACTCACACACACACACTCACACGCACACTCACACACACACACTCTCACACACTCTCACACACTCTCACACACACACTCACACACACTTGCACGCACACACACTCTCACACACACACACACACACACTCTCACACACACTTGCACGCACACACACTCACACTCTCACACACACGCACACACACTTGCACGCACACACACTCTCACACACACACACACGCACACTCTCACACACACACGCACACACACACTCACACGCACACACACTCTCTCACACACACACACTCACACGCACACACACACACACTCTCTCACACACTCACACGCACACACACACACACACTCTCTCACACACACACACTCTCTCACACACACACACGCACACACACACACACACTCTCTCACACACACTCTCTCACACACACACACTCTCTCACACACACACACGCACACACACACTCACACGCACACACACTCTCTCACACACACACACTCACACGCACACACACACACACTCTCTCACACACTCACACGCACACACACACACACACTCTCTCACACACTCACACGCACACACACACACACTCTCTCACACACTCACACGCACACACACACACACTCTCTCACACACTCACACGCACACACACACACACACTCTCTCACACACACACACTCACACACACACTCTCTCACACACACACACTCACACGCACACACACTCTCTCTCACACACACACTCTCTCTCACACACACACACACACACACACACACACACACACTTGCACTGGAGCGCCAGCCACCACGCGAACCTTCTTACCTTTAGTTCTACAGCACACAGTTGATCCGTACGGACCGAGGTGTGAACACGTGACCCGGTCAAACGGTCGGTTGGACTTTACTCGTTCACTCTCACCGTGTCTGCAGCTAATTTAACAAAAGCAACATCATCTCACAGCAGCCTGCTGTAGTCTGTGAACATCTCCACACAGATTAAAGTTGTTTGTTGTAAACTAAATTAAGGGGAAAACATATGTGATATAAATACAAACTTAATACTAAAATGTAGCCTACCCTAAAATAAGAGTTTAAAAAAAAAAGTATGTCGATAATGCATTATTTTTTACAGAACTCTCATTTATTATTTTCTGTTTGTTGTGTGAGTATTAAATGTGTTTGTAGGCTGTTGGTAAAGGCTATGGCTCACTATGTGGACTGGTAGATCTCTGCAGACTGCTAACTTTAAAAGTCGATCTTGGTTCAAAAAAGGTTGGGCACCCCTGCTCTAAATGATCAACCTGCTCACGGTGTGGCGTCTTAATGTCTTATTTGTGGGTCCTCAATGGATGACACTTTAAGAGAAAGAGAGGTCACATGACCACCAGCTGTTTATTTCACAACTCAACACTGAAGACAGCATGAACACATCACCAAGCTGTGTTTCAAAGAAGAGACCACGGATCCTTCTTCAGAGAGGGGAGGGGGGGGTATGTCTTTATGTCTTCCTCTCTGAACTCTGGGATTAAAGTCAGAATTGTTCTAAAGATAAATCCCGAGTGTGCATATTTAAGTACAGCTGCAGGACAAAAACATATTTTTACCTGAGGAGTAGCGCCCTCTGCCGACTCATCCTGGGATTACACCAACATACTTTATTACCTTCCGGTTACTTTCATCATCCAGCAAGCCGTTTCCACATCTACACTCCTGAAAAGATCTGGATCACTTCTCCTCCATAACACTTTGAGAGTCAAAGCCTGAATTTGCAGGAATATTTTTAGGACATAATGAACGGAAGAAGTGTTTTTATTTATGATAAGAAAAGAGAAAGAAAAGAGTCATGTGATCAGAGAGTGAGGAGACGCTCACACAGACTGTTCACACATGATGCACCTCACAGCAGGAGACTCTCTGTCAGACAGGAGGAGGGGCGGGGCCTCCTGAGGTAAGGAGTGAGCAGCAAAGTCCTCCATAGGACTCTATGATGAGAATATGTGTGTTTGTATCAATGAATCTCAAAGTGAAGTAAAGAGAGGAGAAGAACATCCTGGAGAACAGGAAACATGCAGCAGCAGGTTGATTAGAGCACGGAGATGGTAGAGGTGGCGTGCAGACAGTCTATGGTCGTGCAGTGATCACAGGGAATAAAGGTCACCACCCCCTCCCACTGGCCCCTCCCACTGGCCCCTCCCACTGGCTCCAGGTGAATTCTCCTGATTATATCCTGCTGTGTTCTCACATCAGCTCACTCTGACTTTCTGCAGAATAAACACGAGGAGGCTGGAGGAGAAACACCGGGTGAAGAGAGAAACATTCAGATGTTTGAGTGATCACATGACGCTCAGACTGAGGTCTGAATGAGGATCAGCAGAAGAGGCGGAGCTTAAAGGATTCATTTTAAACAACCTGACATTCATTATGTCATCAAGGTGGTTTAACAAACTGAGAACACAAAGAAGAAACACAAATCTACATGTCCTGATGTTCTCACTTTGTGACTCTGACAGGCGTGGCATCCTCCTGTAACACGCTCAGGTGATGTCACCTCCTTCAGGTAGAACTTATTTCATCGTCTTTCTTTAAACCAGGATCAAACTCTCAAGTAGAATCCTCCAGGTGAAGGTCAACAGAACTCAGATGCTACTTTATATAAAATCATGTTTCTTATTTTTCACATAAACAGAAAGTGGTTTGTGAATGTTTATTATTCAGGACACATGGAGGCTCATCAGCGTCTCTCTGCGCCATCCAGCCAACACACAGAGAGTCCCGTGTCCTCTGTGTCTCCTCCGTGTCTCCTCCGTGTCTCCTCCGTGTCTCCTCTGTGTCTCCTACGTGTCTCCTACGTGTCTCCTCCCATGTCTCCCACGTGTCTCCTCACCGTCTCCTCCGTGTCTCCTCCATGTCTCCTCCGTGTCTCCTCCGTGTCTCCTACGTGTCTCCTCCCATGTCTCCCACGTGTCTCCCATGTGTCTCCTCCGTGTCTCCTCCCGTGTCTCCCATGTGTCTCCTCCCATGTCTCCTCAGTGTCTCCTCTGTGTCTCCTCCCGTGTCTCCCCCGTGTCTCCTCCCGTGTCTCCTCCCGTGTCTCCTGTGTCTCCTACGTGTCTCCTACGTGTCTCCTCTGTGTCTCCTACGTGTCTCCTACGTGTCTCCTCCCATGTCTCCCACGTGTCTCCTCACCGTCTCCTCCGTGTCTCCTCCATGTCTCCTACGTGTCTCCTCCGTGTCTCCTACGTGTCTCCTCCCATGTCTCCCACGTGTCTCCTCCCATGTCTCCCATGTGTCTCCTCCGTGTCTCCTCCCGTGTCTCCCATGTGTCTCCTCCCATGTCTCCCACGTGTCTCCTCCCGTGTCTCCTCCCATGTCTCCTCACCGTCTCCTCCGTGTCTCCACCGTGTCTCCACCGTGTCTCCACCGTGTCTCCTCCGTGTCTCCTCCCGTGTCTCCTCCGTGTCTCCTCTCGTGTCTCCTCCCGTGTCTCCTCCCGTATGTCCCTCATCTCTCTCTTAAGTTCTTCTTCTGTGGTGTTAATTATTCCACCATGACAGCAGCCCCAGCCCCGGCTCACAGATTGTCCCCTGAAGAAGAAGAATTTAAACTTTGATTACAATGCTACCTGCTTGTTAGCATGGCAACAAAAAGAGAAGTATTGCTCATACAATACTGGCCGGCTAATTTATTGTTTTTAGTTTATTCCAAGTTACTGACA